TAAAGTTCACTAAGCACTGGTGGCCCAGTGGATAGAGCACTGGCTTTGGAATCAGAAGGACCTGAGTTCAAATTCCACCTCAGACATTTAACACTTAGTAGCTGTGTGACCCTGGGCAAGTTATTTAACCCCATTGCCTAGCAAAGAGAAATAAACAAAGAAACAAAAAAAGACTTGGAAAATGCATAGCTTTTCTAGGTTAACCTTTTCCTGGGTAAAGGGGGATTTTAATATTCCCATCTAGTTGCCTCAGAGAAATTTGTTGGCATTTAAGGAAAATAATTAGGCAGAAATTTGAGTACTCTGTCAGTGCTTCCTCTGGAGAAGGTGGGGAAACCTTTCTCTCAGTGTTTGAAGGAAAGACAGCAAAATGTACAATATGTGAGCTTGGAATTTCATTGCTGCTGATTTTCTTGAAGATGCAGAATGATGGAACTCTGCTCCCTGAGCAAGTTTAGTGAGACCCAGAGGTTGGCAGCAGTTTAAAAAAATTGAAAAGGTAATACCAAAACCCTTATGAGGAGTCCTTCCTTTTTCTCAAACTGCATCAAAAAAGTTACAACTAGGAGAATGTGTCCTTTCAGCCATGAAAAGCCCTGGAGGCTTTCTTTTTCTTTAGTAATAGAGACTGAATAAGACTGTCTGTGGCAGAGGGTCTATCCATGACTCAGGTTTTTGTTGTTTGTCCTTTGTTCTCGAAGAGGAAGGAGATGTCATGACTTGCAAGTGAATTGGATTTAAGTGAGAGAGGGCTGTGCAAAGTCACCAGCCTCACTCTCTCCTCCAGAGCCATCTGGGTCCACTGGCCACATATAGATACCAGATGCCAGTTGCTTGAAGGAACAAGGATCTACAAGAGGAACTTATGAAAAGCTGCAGGACGACTTACGGTAGAAAGCAGTACCTGATGCTACCTAGAACTACCACAGGAAGTGATGGGGTTGAGATCTGGACCCCAGAAAAGAAAAACCCTAACTTTCCCACATGGCCAAATCTCTGGATTTCGCCTGAGGCTATAATCCCATCAACTGGCCTTTCATTATCGCCTATGCCCAATCTCCCAATTCTATTACCTAGCCCTCCCTAGTTTATTACCTCCAGATGGCCCCACCACTTCCTACCATTAATTCTATCTAGCCTCCAATCTCCCTTGGCCATGTGGTCCAGGTCCCAGGCGTTCTGTTTACCCCAGTTTACTGGCCACTCCCATCCAAATCTTCCTGCCCTTCCTCTTCCACTCACCCCAAACTACTTGGCCACTCCTAGATCCCTCCCGCAGCCTTTTTGTATATAAGGGTCATCTTGTCTCCATTAAAGTGCTCAGATTCTTAAAATCTAGCCACTGCTCAGATTTTTACAATGTGGCCAATGGCTTAGTAATGTTCAGATTCCTTAGGAGTCTGGCCAATATGGCGGATGTTCTAATAAACTTTGTCTTTGGCTGAAAGAAGGGTTGGGTTGAATTCCTTTGGGCAGGACCTGCATATTGTGATATTGAGGTCCCGGGACCCTTGAACTCCTAAACTGTAACAGAAGCATGCAACAGCAATGCCTTACTCTGCCTCGTAGATGAGTCATACCTGATGATACTAGCTGGGAGCCTCTGGGGCAGAACTTTCTATTTGTTACTATAGGTGACTGAGACTATTCAAAAGACTTTGGGTGATGGTTTCTCACTGGAAGGTGTCTGTTATATTCCAAGAGTTCTATTTCATTATCTTCCCACCTTTCTATACACTTTCTCATTTTTAATTTTATGACTTGTGTGTTTGTAAGTAGAGAGATAGTCTCAGTATCCTGAGCAAAGAAGGGGAGTGATATCACACAGAAAATACCAGGTTTTCTGCATGGCGCTAAGAGTCAAAAGAATAATCCAAGTCCCCAAAGGGTCCTCTGGCCCTCTTTGTCATAAGGCCTTTTTTAACATAAGGGTCACACATATTTCTTGTTTCAAAATACAAATACCACTAAGATGGCTAACAAATTAAAATATCTACCAGTCATCTTAATATGAAATAATTCAATCATTTCATTGAAGGAATTGGGAGTTTTGAGGGTGAGAGAGACACAAATGCATAAGATTTAGAGACAGAATCATAGTCTGAGATGGAGACAGTGCAGGACTTAGAAGTCTCTATTTATATCCAGCCTCTGAAGTCTTATTGACTGTGTGACCATATGCAAGTCATTTATCTGTTCTAAGCTTGTTTTCTTATTTATAAAATGGTTAAAATAACTGTAGTGTCTATCTCACAGGACTGTTGTGTCTCAAATGAGATAATTTACTTCGTAAAGCACTTTGTAAACTTTAAAGCACTATATATGTTATTAACAACTAATCAAAACATTTACAAACGAGGAAACTGAAGCCTCGCGGTATAGTGTTTTGCCTACAATCGCCCAGATAATAAAGAACAGAGCTGATATTTGAACACATGCCTTCTAACTCCAAATGCTGTGCATTTGCATTATATTTCAGATGGCTCAGCATCTCAAATATGCTGCTCTCTGGAAGGAAAGGCCTGAGTGAGGTCTGGGTGGAGGCAAAATCCAGATAGCCAGACAGTAGAGAAGGAGATACATAATGGGTTGAGAAAAGAGTTTAGGAAAATGGGCAGGCAACTCTCTTAGGGCCCCATCTTATATTTGAATGTGTGGTTATGATCACTGTTTGTCACCCTACTGTGTTTAGTTGAGCTTCTTCTTCAACTAATCAGTGAGAAGTAGCTGTGAGGCATAATGGGTCAACTGAGCTTGGGGTTAGAAGACCCAGGTTTTACATCTTGCCTCGAATACTTATTCTGAGTGGTCACTTCTCTGAAATTCACCTATCCCCTTTTGTAAAATGCCAACAGTGACACACTACCTATCTGGGCTGCTTCGAGGAAAATGCTTTGTAAACCCTCAAGGCACTGTATAAGTAAAAGCCAACCCAAGTCTGGGAAAAGGATGAACTATCTGCTTTGGTTCCTTCAAGACTGCTCAAATCCCAGCTTCTTCTGCAAGAGGCTTTTCTTAGTTCTTCCACCCCAAGGCTAGTGTCCGCCATGCAGATTAACTCCAACTTATCTTGTATATAACTAGTACAAATATAGTTATTTACCCTTAGTCTCCTTCATGAAAATGTGAGTTTCCTCAGGGTAAGGGCTGTTTTTGTTTTTAAATTTTATTAATTTATTTTGATTTATCAATAATCACTTCCATATGTAAGGGCTGTTTTTTGCCCTTCTTTGCATCCCCAGCTATAACCACAGTGCTTACCTTATTTTTGTTGTTGCTCAGTCATTTTCAGTCATGGCTGACTCTTCACGACCCCATTTGGGGTTTTCTTGGCAGAGGCACTGGAGTGGTTTGCCATTTCCTTCTCCAGCTCATTTTACAGATAAGGAAACTAGGCAGAGTTTAAGTGACCTGCCCAGGGTCACACAGCTAGTGTCTGAAGTCAAATTTGAACTCAGATCTTCCTGACTTCAGGCCTGGCACTCTATCCTCTTTGCCACTTGGCTGCCCAATATAGTAGTGCTTAATAAATGCTTGTTGACTGTTTCCCAAAGCAAAATGAACTGAATTGGCACGTTCTAGTAAGGTTCCTTTTCTTTTTTCTGCTTGTTAACAACTAGCTAGTAAAAGATATATTAATGCTACTACCTTTGAAGATTCCCTTCTCATCTAGGAAGTTGAAATAATTTCTTTCTTTAGCAGATTGGTAAAAGAATGTGGGCCCATCTAAATGAAGGCCTTGAGCAGGAATTTAAATTCCTGGATCATAATTTGAACTTCTCTTTTTTTCTTCCTCAACATTTAAATTTTATAAATTAGTTAATTGGAGATTTTGTAATAATTAAGTTGGCAGCCAGTTTAAAAAAGACCAAGAGTTATTATTATTGATCAAAATCATGCACTTTTAGGAATGGAAGCAGTATTCGAGATACTTTATGGAAAATAAAACTGAACCATAGGGAGTTGAAGTAACTTACTAAAGGTCACCAAACTAGAGAAGTATTGTCTGTGAGAGCTATTGAGAACGTGTGTCACCTCAGTGGATATAGGGCTGACCTGGAATTAGGATGATCTGGGTTACTTTGTCAGAATGACTTCTCTCTGAGGAGCTAACCAGAATCCTGGGCAATCTCCACCCCCAAACTCTCTCTGCTCCAGTGATCAGAACCTTTTGTTTCTAACCTAGGGCTTCTTCTGGCCTTGAGCCTCTTTTTGCCTTTGACTATGTCTGACACTAGGTACTTAGGTGGACCCTTGCCTTGCCTACCCACAACTACCCTTTATAGCCAGTCACCTGACCACCTTGATCTTGAAGACAGTTGCTCTTGGGGGACCTCTCTGCATGGTGGTTTATCTCCCTGACAGGTTGCTGACAGAACACACAACTACTTATAAATATTGCAAATTAATATACATACATATGACATCCACAAAAGGACATACAGGGTAGCCTTTGGTACAAGAACCACAGGATTTTTGAAAATGGGCACACAGTGTGAGAAGAGCTTAGAATCCAAGAAACATTTTAATTTCATTTCCTGTTTGAAGACAGGAAGAGTGTGGTACATAAATCAATATACATTTATACACATATCCAAAAGGTCAGAAAAGGCATCCTCAAGATAAGAACCACAGAATTTTAGAAAATGAGCAAACAGGGTGAGAAGAAGTTAGAATTCCTAAGAAAAAATTTAATTCCTTTTTCTGTTTGAAGACAGGAAGAGTGAACTACTTGAATATCCACTCTTTATATACACATATGCATTTTATATATATATATATGTTTATATATATATATATATATATATATATATATGTATGTATGTATGTATTTAAAAAAGAGAGAGGGTAAGCCCAGGCAGAAAAGCCATGGAATTTTATAAAATGGGTGAAAAAGGTGAGACAGTTAGCATTTTGGAGAAAATATTTAATTCTACTTCCTGTTTGAAGACAGGAAGAGTAAGCTTCATGAGGAAGCCCAGGATGAACTTTGCACCCAATGCTCAGTAGTCTAATAACTGTAAACTACAAAACACATTTTTCCTTAAAAACACACACATACACTAAAAGTTTTGAAAAGTACATTTTCATTCATATCTGAACTTTGAGGTCAAATTAACAACTAACCTTTGTTATCATTCATTAAAAAAGAGTGTTCTAAAGTTTTAATGAATTTCAGTTTGAGCTGTGCTTTGAAGTTTTGATACCACGCAAGCAGTATTTTTCTTCTTTCAATCTTTTCTTGTAAGCTCATATTTTCCTCTTTTTTAAAATAGCAGGAAGCTCTTTCCAGTCTTTAATGAAGATAAAGGGGGCCCCCATAGCCTTAAGAAGCTGCAGTGGAGTGCTAGGAGATGTGGATGCATTCCCACAATTGCCTGGTGTCATTACATCTTCTACAACAGGAATGGAGCCATAGGAACAAGCCTCATAAATTCAGTAACATTCTGTGTTTACTCCTACAGGGCACAACGTGAGATCACTCTGAAGTAAAGCATCTTGATAGTTCTTCAAACTTTCAGTTGTTTCTTGAGGCTTCCACCTAGAAAATAAGAAAAGGAATGTGAATTCTCACTCCATACTAATTCTATTCTTCAGAAGAAAAGATTATATCTTAATATCAAGAACTACAAATGGTTAAAAAAGAATATGTTGGTAAATAAGAAAATAAAAATCTTATCTAAAAAGAAATAAAAGCACTGTGACTTGCTGATGTTTAAGTCCATAATAAAAAAGTAAAATTTTGAGACTATCACTACAGATATTATAATTACCAATCTTTTTATCCAATAGCTTTTTAAAAACTCTTATGGCTAATATTTAAATATATTTTTCATATTTTTCCCTCATGACTGATTCAAAGAGTACTGTACTATTCATATATAATACTAAATTTACTTTAAAAGCTGAACTGGGAATAGACTTTGATAGTCTGGAACAAAATATCTACTAAAATAATTTTAATTAAAACTTCCTGAAGGTCTGGAATCAAGAGTACAATAATAAATTTTTTTCTAGCTAAATTTTACTGAAGGATTTTTTTTTAAAAGAAGAGAATCAGACAATTCAACTCCAATTTCCTACAAAAACAAATTTTAAAAAATGATTCTAAAATTTTTGAAATGAGAATCTTACATTGATATTCATGGACTGTTCTAGGTTTTTCCTCCTTAAAATATTTATTCACATATTGCCATGCAAAAAATATGAGATGGTCCACAATTCTTGGAATCATTATAATACCATTTATTTGACACTTAGGATGTGTTAAATGAAGCAACCAGAAGTTTGGTCTATCAGTTTTTCTTTCCTCCTATGTTTGCTAATTGCTCCTATCCTTCATTTCCCAATTACAAGGTACTGGGGGCACTGAGTTCACAGAAGCTGTGAGGGAACTGATGTAGTGTCAGCTACAGAATCCTGAAATAGCATGATGAATGCCAATGAGATGAACACCATATATTCCTGGCATTCCACATCTCAAGGATGTCAAATTAACCTAGAAAATGCCACTGAGCCAAGCTCTGGGAAATGGTTTTGCCTTTGACTGCCAGTATTATTCCAAGTCCACCCTAATGGAGCTTCTTTGCCCATCTTAAAGTCCTACCTTGTCTCTGTAAGATGCTTCTAAAAGCTTCGATACTATTGTATTTTTCTACAGATAAACTATACTGACAGTACAGTGATTATTTCTTGTGAACCCTCCATGAATGCCCAGGTTAACAAATCCTTCTGCCTGACTTTAGTTAACTAAGGGAATATGCAAAGGAAACAGAACTTACTCTTCTCTGGCTGTAATCCAGCACAACTTATTGTTTTTATCATGTTTCAAAATGTCCATTAGAGTCTCCCTTGATGAATTTTTATAAATAGTTCCTAAGAAATTACACAAGAATGATCTCTTATCATGCAACAATGACCAACTAGGTTCCACCACAGGAAAATTTCTGTATCTATAAAAATAAACATACAAATTAGTGCATAATATATCATACCATCTTGCATTTCAAAATAGGAATGAAATGTAGATTGAAAGATTAGGAATTATTTTTGTACATAATCTGAATTGTCATTTCTTACAAACCAAATGTTGACAAATCATCTTAAACAAATTACTCATGTTTGTGAATATTAATATTCATTATGTTAATTATTATATTATATGAATCTCTAATATATTTGTATTATATATTATATATGTTAATGACAGCTATTTCTATATTAGAAAGATTATCTACCTAAGGTGCATCTATATTTCCCTTTTATACTTCCCATTACTAATCTACATTTGTTGTGTAGGTCACATTCAAAGCTTTGCAACAATGACTTGTGTGTAATCCCAGCATGCTTCCTGGTAGGGAGGCTTAGAGGGCAACTAGGCCAAACTTTTGTATACAAGGACTCCCTTTTCAGGTTTCACAATATCCACAGTAGTTGTACTGTGAGTATCTGTAAATTAAAAGTACATTATCGGGGTAGCTAGGTGGCGCTGGATAGAGCACTGGCCCTGAAGTCAGGAGGACCTGAGTTCAAATCCGGCCTCACACCAAACACTTGACACTTACTAGGTGTGTGACCCTAGGCAAGTCACTTAAGCCCAACTGCCTAAAAGCAAAAATAAAAAAAAGTACATTATCATAAAAAGTTGGTATGAATTCGTGAACACTTTTAAATTAACTTGTAGTCTGTTAATCACAATGGCATTTGAAAAATAGTAATATCTATACACTTGACATTATTCAGTCAATAGAAGGCATTTTGCTTCTTACACTATGTCAAACTGAGTATTTTTTTGGAGCTAAATAAAGAAAAGCAATGATAGTGCATGGGTGCACAGAGATTTGTAATAATGATAGTGGATGCCTGTGGATTGGGGTCCACCAGTTGGGAATCACTGGTCCAGACCAACTCTTTCAATTTACAGATGAGGAAACTGAGTATTAGAGAGGTTAAGTGACCTGCCTACGGTCAAAGAACTAGAAACAGAGTAGAAAGAAGAAACAGATTTCCAGACCAGTGTTATTTCTACCACATTGCCTCTCCAAATGATAAAAAACAATTCTTTCTGCTAGTTAATCTAGTTTTCAAAAATTGCTATTAACAACAACAACAACAAAAACTATATAAGATGGCTTTCAGATTGACTCCTTACCCTTCCAGAAAATATAATAGAAACCTGTTGCATATTTCTAACGTGGATTAGGATAAACCAGAGACAAATCATATTTTTTAAAACCTAAAAAGTCTGGTGTAATATGATTAATCTATAAGGAGAATGCCAGCACTATCTTACATGACTGGTTACCAGGAGGCCCCATGTTATAATATACTAATACCTACCATACTAATATATCTCTTACTATTGTGTTTTATTAATTATATTGTATTAGATTTAAAATTTTTTAAAATATTTTACTTAAAGTTTTGAGTTCCAATTTCTATTCATCCTTCCCTTCCCTGAGATGGTAAGCAATCAGATATACATTATACATGTGCTTCTGTAAATTTTACCTGTCCCTAATGATCACAGACAGATAACTAATTTTCCTGTTCTGAAAAATCTTTAAACAAAGTTGACTGCATAATCTTCGTTTTAATGGCATAAAGATTAAAGTATTCAATTCTGAAAGACAATGTGATTACATTTTAGACTTACGTGGCTACCCCTAAGGGCCACTGGAAAATATCTTCTCCATTAATCCAGGGGCTATCATAGATTACAAAAAGTATTTCCACAAAGCCTCCATTTTTTTTAAGATATGGACTAATCCATTTGTTGTTGCAATGTTCATTTCCAAGTAAGACAACAGCAACGTGCTGGAGTTTCCGAGTGTCTATTAAAGTTTTTGTATAGAGTAACCACTGTGTGGCGAAAGAGATCTTTGTGTCTTCTCTTCCATTTAAAACAAGCACGACATAATCCACCTCAACTGAAAAGTATCCTGGGGTTAGGGCTGGACCAGTGATGAAGCTGTAACATTAGAACAAAGGAACTTGACATCTGGATATGTTAAGACATTTAATCTTCATGGAAAATCTTGTCAAAATTCTGCCCAATTCTTCATGGAAATCTTTCCTATAATTGTACAATTCATGTTCTTTTGAAGCCAAGCTTTAAATGACGGGGTCTGGCTGCAGACTGCTGCCAAATGATCACAGACTAAGCAAAAGAAGCACCCAGAATATTAAGTGTGAAGGTCAAAAGCAGAGACACATACCTGTCTTCATAAGCAGTTACTGAGTGCCTTCTATGTGTCAGGCAGTGGGATAACAAGGAGCTAATATACTACTGGAGAGACATTTATACATATATATGTATGCAAGCAAAATAAGTATAAAGTCATTTGGGGGGGATGGAAGAAGGGGAGGAGAGACACTAGAAGCTGGGAAAACCAGGAAGGGCCTCATGTAGGAGGTGGCATTTGAGGTGAGCTACAAAGGAAATGAGGGATTCTAACAACCTCTAAAAAGATGGAATGCATTCCAGGAATGGGAGACAGCCTGAGGAATCAGACAGAGATGAGAGATAGAATGTGATGTGTGAGTAGCAGTAAGAAGACCATTGTGGTTGGACTGATGTGCCAATGAAGGACTCTTCGGTAGTGTCTTAGGGGTCTGTGCTTTGGTGTCTGCAGCTTGACATATTATCAATGATTTGGATAAAATATAAATGGAATAGTCATCAAATTTGTAAAAGACAGAAAGGAGGGGAGGGACAGCTAAAACACTGTGTGACAGTCAGGATTCAAAAAGATCTTGACAGGCTAGACAGAGTTCAATTTAATAAGACAATTTAATAGGGACAATTATAAAATTGTGCACATCAGTTAAAAAAATCAACTTCAGAAGTATATTAAATCCAAGCTATCAATTACTATATGAAAAACTACAAAAAAAACTATATGAAAAATGCTTCAAATTACTATTAATTAGGGAAATGTAAATTAAAACAACTTTGAGTTTCTGTTTCACACACATCTGATGACAAATACAGGGAAGTGATAATTGTTTAAGAGGCTACAGGAAAACAGACATACACGTGCCCTGTTAGCAGAGCTGTGAATTGGTCCAGACATTCTGGTAGCAATCTGGAACTATGCTCTCAAAGTGACTGAACTGTGTGTGCCCTTTGACTCTGCCACCACTAGCTGGCTTATACCCCAAAGAGATCAAAGAAAAAGGAAAAGGACTTACATGTACAAAAATACTTATGGTAGCTCTTTTCATAGTAAACAAAAATTGGAAACTAAGGAAACTAATCCTTCTACTGGGAAATGGCCAAATTATGGTATATGAAATAAGGAATATTGTTGTACCATAAGAAATGATGAAAAAGTCAGTTTCGGAGGAAACTAGTTGGAACTCCACGAAACATTACAGAGTGAAATAAGCAGAACTAGGAAAACCTTTTATACAATGACACCATTATAGAAAAAACAACTTTGAAAGACTTTAGAACTCGGATTAATGCAATCCATGGGTCCAGAAGACTGAAGACAAAACATATTGGTGATGATCTTTTTTTTTTTTTGGCTGAGGCGATCAGGGTTAAGTGACTTGTCCGAGGTCACACAGCTACCAAGTGTGTTAAGTGTGTGACGCTGGATTTGAATGCAGGTCCTCCTGACTCCAAGACCAGAGCTCTATCCACTGCACTACCTAGCTGCCCCTGAGAGGTGATGAACTTAAAATGTAGAGAAAGACATATTTCCATTCATGGCCAATATGAGAGTTTGTTTTGTAGGACTATTCCTTTTTATGATGACAGTTTTATTTTTCATATATTTTTGTTGTTCTTGTTCAAGGGGAGGAGAGGAGACAATGTCAAGGACAGATAATAAATGCATGCAAAAATAAAAACATTTTTAAAAAGTATATGAACCATGTACTGTAAGAGGGTCTTTAAAATGAGGCTGTGAGGATAGTAACAACAACCATAATAATAATTAACATTTATAGAGCACTTATTTTGTGCCAGGCATTGTGGTAAGTGATTTACAATTACTATCGCATTTGATATTCACAATAACTCTGGGAGGTAAGTGCTATTATTTATCTACATTTTACAGTTGAGAAAACTGAGCGCACAGAAGTTAAGTGACTTGCCCAAGGTCACACAGCTAGTAAGTGTCGAGGATGATTAAACTCAGGTCTTCCTGACTCCAGGTCCAGTGCTCTACTCACTGTACCACCTGTGAGAGCAAGGTCATGGAGCAGCTTACTGGCTCTTTGGGATGATCGTGGACTGTGAGAAGGCTCTGTGTATCCAAGTGAGAGAGTCACTTAAAGCTCTGAGACTCAGGGATCTTAAAAGTCATTCTCCCTTCCTCTTTACAAGCCACTTTCCTCACAGCTTGATGCTTGAAATCCTTGCAAACTGTATTAGCGTGGATGTGTTTGTGTGGGCATGTGCATGCATGCACAGGCGTGTGTTGGCACCTACTAGCCCTCAACTGAATAGCTGATTATGACTGACCTGATAAGGATAACTGCTTTACAGGACAGCCTTTTTAGACTTACATACACATAACAATTGTGACGTTACTCACAAATCAATTTTACTTAATTTAGTTTGGGGGGAAAAGTTGAATTTAGGCCAAGAAAATGCTGGAGTTTTTGCTCATCTATGTAATGTAAATAACCTGTATGATTTCATTTTTTAGTTCTCGAGCATTTTTACTGGAATGTAGAAAATCACAGATAATGACTGCTCTTTAAAGGTATCTCTTTAAATGTAATTAATGATCTGATTAGCATTTATTAAATGTCTACTACATGCAGAAGACTATTCTAGGTACTTATAGAGGTATCAAGATAAAGAGCAAAATGTACACCATTTTCACATTTGAAGGTGCCTTACCAATGACTTTCAACTAGAGTTTAGCTGAACTTATTACTTTTCTTCTTTAAGTTCAAAAGATCTGAGATTTTTCCATAGTGGTGTTCCCTCTGATGCAACAGACTGTAGCCCTTCCACTTCTTAGATGACAGTAACAAAGATTGATCATCAGAAAGAAAACCTCCTAGCAATGAATTAAGGCATTACATATACTTTTAAATGCCCCTTCAATCCATCTTAAAATAAGTTGTTATATATTTCCTGAGATCACATATTCTAAAATCCTGAAGGTCAAAAAAAGAAAAAAGAGGGAACTGTGATATAGACAAAGTTCACTGACCTACTAACATTTCTGACTACTTATTAATATGAAAAATACGAGAAAATCAAGAATATTTTACAACAGAGACAATTTTTGACATATCCACACACAGTAGAGAACCTTCGAACCCCAGTCTGACAGAAGTAGACAAGGAAAAAGGCAGGTCACTCCTCGTGGCCCGAAGAATGAAAGAAAGGTAACAACTAAGGAGTTTAATTAGCCCAGGTCGGTATCCCTGGGAATTTCCACTGGCCAGAAGTTGGCTCTCTCCTCTTCTATACCTTCGTGACTTTACAGCCCTTATCCTGCTCCTTACACAAGGGTTTCTGTACTCTCCCCTCTCCTCCCTACCCTGCTCCAGACCCCAGAGCCATTGGTTTGGAGCTTGGTGAGCTCTCACTAGGACTGCTTGGCAGGTAGAAGAAGAGGTCTATTCCAAGAAAAGTCCATTTTGGGGGGCAGCTAGGTGGTGCAGTGGATAGAGCAATGGCCCTGAAGTCAGGAGGACCTGAGTTCAAATCTGGCCTCAGACCAAACACCTGACACGTATTAGCTGTGTGACCCTGGGCAAGTCACTTACCCCCAGTGCCTAAAAAAAAAAAGTCCATTTTGTCAGAGAAGACAAATGGTTTGGTTTTACAGTATTATAGTTCAGCTACATGATGGATTATATAAGTTTTTGTGGGTTGGCATTGGGACCCTAGTCACAAAAATTTATAATTCTAACAGTAAATGCATTCTAAATACTTATACAAAAACTTTTAAAAACATAACCAATTCCCAAGTTGGGGACTATCTACTACAGTCTCCTTAACTTAGGGACTTTGAGGTGGGGGGTGGGGAATTCCCTCCAGTGATGAGAATCAGCAATTCCTATGTAACTGATAGCCTCCAAACCACCTCAGGTGCAGAGAGACTGTCAACTGCCTTTGAGCACAAAGTTATTACGTATTTGAGGCAGGACATCTCAATCTATCTGACTTCAGGGCCAGCCATTGAATCACTGTTTCATTCTGCCTTTCAGTTGGGCACTTGCTTATAGAAACAGCTATCACATACTATTTTTTAAAAATCTAGCACAAACAAACAATGAATGTATGTTCCTGTGGAATCTGTGCACACATATCCTAATGTGGCTATGCATTAGGCATTCTATACCTATATGGTACATAAGGTCTATAAGTATATAGAGGGTCAGAACCATGTTGTGGATTGGTTTTATATATAGTATCTAACATAATTCAGAAAGGGAAAACAGGAATAACTCAATAATTCTGTATGTGCAGAATTTTTAGCTAATATGACTACCTTTCTGTAAGACTAAAGATAGCTGGAAAAACATTAAAAATATTTACTGTTACTGATCTGATTAATATCTTAACCCTAGTCTTAACCACCAAGTTATTTTGTAGAATACACTTTTATTTCATTTCTTCTTAAAGAATAATTGTTTGTAAAGATATTTACCTACTAACATTTCACTTTTAACTAAATAAGATAAAGATATGCTACATTAGGTCTTAGAATGAAGTAAGGAAGGAAAGAAAGAAGAATGGATTTGTAGAAAGTAAAATCAAAACAATTTGGTTTTTAAGTTACATGAAAGACATGACTGTTTTATCTGTCCATATCATGGAGGATGTTTTCGCATGCATATAAAAAAAAATGATTTATTCATTTCTTATTGGTATTAATTGCTCATGAATGCATTAGCAATTTTCCTTTTTTCCTCCCAAATGACCATAGAAAACTGCCAGAACAATGAATTTCACTTACAACAAGTTTCCAGTAAAACTGTAGGGGGAAAGTA